TACCATGATGGCTCATATTGCCACTAAAGCATAATGTTTAAAACTAACAGTTTTTGTAGATTTTAATGTCCATGTACTCATGCCACTGTGAATTCTCAATTTCAAGACTATTTTTTTTCTCCTGTGAACCCCTACTTGTGCCTTAAAACTGAAAACCATTTATACAAATATTGGGTAGTTAGGGCCCTTCTTTAAAAGACATACGAGATATGGTACAATAAGAAATCTTTATAAACATGTAAGCCCCCCCCCTAAAATTTTTCCCTCCAACACATTTTGGGGAAATGGCCCAGGAATCTAATGACAGAAAAATTTTAAAATCATATATCATGAATACATTTTATTGGCCTCTTAAATTATAAGTTATAGGCACCAAAACAAAAACTAATATTTTTTTTTAAAAAATTTTTTAAAAAAAAAAAAATTGGGTTTTTTTTTTGGAAAAAAGAAAAAAAAATTATTACAAATAAAAACAAAGTTGTAACAAACTAAAGGAGAAAAAAACATTAAATGTATGTGTATTAAGTATAAATTCTTTAATTAAATCATGGGCATCTTGGCCTTTTGATTAAGCTGGACAATGTTACTTTAGTTTGTATCCACTAGTCAGCGCTAATTTTTACATCAATCGTCTTTACAATATTTGTGCATGTGTTCGTCTTTGTAAGTAGACAGAACCCAGACATTATCATCAAATATTGAAGTTTGGTCAAAATCTACTTATTTCAGGGAGATTCTCAACTAATTTTGAAGTTTGATCAAAATACACCATGTGCTTTAGGAGATATACTGTAAAGAAAATCTGATACCGACAATTGACAAGACAGACTAGGCACAACTTGGCATAAAAAAAGCTCATCTCTAATCATTATATACATTGTATATATACATATATGTATATCAGAATATGTTTTAGAAAGATATCTAGTTAAACTAGGACAATTAAACTTTTAATTCATTTAAAATTTTCCTATAAAATTCAAAAACAACTTAAATCTTGGTTTTTTACAACCGATTTTCCCAGTTTTCAACACATTTTTTTCTTTTGGCATATCTTGCCTTTTAACCAGCAGTACTGATATTTTTACCTAGAATTTACCCAATTTCTTCCACAACTAATAATCTTGGGGCATTGTGGGCTAAATATCCGAATGTTTAAACCGCCTTGGACTAGTATTATTTAATAACAGGCTATGCGGGTTCAAAACCCCTTCATGGGAAAGCCATTGTTTCCTTTAGCAAGACACTTTACACTTATTGCTCAGTACTGGTTGGTTCCAGGAACAGATTCGAATGTGTGTTTATAAGCTTATAGCTTCCTAGATTATCAAACTAAAATAAATTCTGTAAAAACCAACTCCCAATCTTGAATGATTTTTACAGTAAAAGACAAATAACCATTAGCAAGTGTTGACTCCCCTGGCTTTATAAAACTGGAAATGGCAAATCATTGTTGCAGGTAATACTCCATGAGTAAATTGAACACAAGTTTCCCTTGATTGATTTCATAATATACCATATTCCCATCCCAAAAAATAAACTTAACAATACGAGAATTTCAGCATTAAAGGAAACCTTTTCTTGCATATCAGAAAGGATAATTCTACAGTTTACACAAGTTGCGTGCTTCAAATGACATCATTCCTGCGCGCCTTATAAGAATGAATTTCGTTCTTAGAATGACATCATTTTGCCATTATGAATGAAATTGTAAATTCATAGACTACTACAAGACTTTTTTTCTCTGATATATGATTAACATGTAATATGCAAGAAAAATAATCAAACACCGCCTGTCGTTACAGAGAGGAATGTCTAGCTCTCGGTTAACTGTTTAGTGGCAACTCGGCAGAGCCTGTTTAACACCGTAAACAGTTACCCTCCAGCTAGTGATCCGGTCTACACTGGTAGTCGATGAAAGATCCTCGTACATTTACCTTAGTAATTCTATACATGTGCAATAAAAAACTTACATAATTAACTACAGATCGCTACATCATTTTGTACCAAACTTAAGGTATCTATCTGTACCAAACTTAAGGTAACTATCTGATTAGAAACTACAGAACACATGACAGGTATAAATGAAACATATTCTCAATATTTCCATCACTATTTTTTTTATAAATTCTCCTAAAATCACAAAAAAATTGCTCCTTATGACCAATATTGTAACCCCAGACCGCTAAGTAAATGACATAGTCACAACATTAGGTTTCAGAAAGAATCTTCAAACTATAACAATAATACTAAAATATTTCATTCACAGGGCGATAACCCTCCTCACAGTATTTCAGTCAACAAATGAAGTTTAAAAAACTATCTCTAGACATCAACTGCCACACAAGAAAATAGTATATGGTCAATCCAATAACTCATTTAACATCTCTATCTTTGAGCAGCTGTAAAGTCATCAAAAATGTCCGGCAAGAGCATACTTTTATTCCCACCACATAATGGGGGATGAATATGAACACTTTATGGAGTAGAATAGAAATTCAAACTCAGAAATTAACTCTAGACTAGTCACTTTCATCGTTCCTCTGTTCTGCTTTTCTTTTGTATTTTGCCTGAAAAGAGAAATAAAAATTATTGTTATTTCTTTTTCATTATCATCATCTAACAAGAGCTGTTGGTAGGACAGCCTGCTCAACTTTTGTCAGTGCTTGAAAGTAAAACATGAGCATGGATAACGTACAATTTTATTACATTCATTACGGCCATAATTCTGTCAAAATCCATGTTTAAGTATTGGACCTTGGTCAGTGATGTCCTATTATGCTCCTAAATAAGTGTGTGAAGTTTCAGACCCATTCCCTTCAGTAGATTTGGAGATACCAACTTGTACACAAAAACTTAACGAAAGTGTGACAAATATTTACAAAAGCTCTCCCTATTCTTTCAATATTCTACTGAACAATTGTTGGGAGTAAATATAGCACACACAACTGTCCTGTTTTTGTTTTTTTTAAAGATACCTCAACACTGTAAAGTTCATATTGTAAATTTTCTACTGTACTGGTGGAGTAAGACCTCAGGTGCCACTTCCCTGCCAGTTTTCACAAACTATTTTCTAGGGAGAGTAGGGCGTCATGGGTGAAAATTGGCTTGTTTAAAAATGTCGTTACAAGACGGTTGTTATTCCAGTTAGAACTGAATTGATCATTATTCCCTCAAGGATGGGTATGAACATACAAATGAACATCAAAGAATTTTGATGTCTACAATCATCATTAAACAAGTCATTATTTGGCCATTTGCTAAAGTTTCTGGAAGAGACCTGAACAAGTATCTTGTGACATTAATTTTTGTGAGCTTTTTTTATGGCGGTTGTGAAAATGAACAAATGTAGAACCACCAAACCATGAACCTTCAATCACCGTACTTAGTGTTTTCAAACCAACAGTAAAATAGACTGTAGGCTTGCAGCCAAACATTGACATCTCTTCAGTGATTTTTTTCCTGTATTTTACAGCCAAATAAAGGCTGTTTCCCCTAGCCCAAAATATGTATATTTTCCCCTAAAATTGCTAATATTTCTATCTAAAATTCTTCACCAGAACCATGACTAAACAGCAGCTGACTTATATAAGCTAGAAGACAGAAAGCTCTCCCTATAGATAGCCTCTGCTATGTACCATGCATGTTAAATTGAATTGAAATTGAAATTTTTATAACATGTGTTCTCAGTTGTTGTACTTTCATTTTTCCCTTTTCTGATTTATCACGCTGAATTTTCCCCCTTCAGAAAGCCACAGGTTGTTTTGAAAATTGAAAAAAAAAATCACTGCTCTTAATGTGATATTTGGTTATCAATACACTTACTGATATCCTATAGAAAACTGTCATTAAGACTGTGTCAAGTAATGGAAACAGTTCCTCGTTACAACAATATGTCTAGTTAACAGATCAATTATACAAAAAGAAGAAAAACACTTTAAAGTATAAAAAATATGTGCAGGGTTCATACAGACATCCAATGCCAAAATTCAAGCACTTTTTAAATGCGTTTTCCCATTGTTCAAATACAATTTTTTGAACATAATATCATTTTGTAACCAATGATAAAGTAACTTTTCTTCAACCCTTGGATAGCCATTTTTTGTTGAATACACTTTCTGGTAGCCATCTTACGATTAATATCGATGAACAACAAAAGTTAACTATGATATATTCATACTCAAACTAGTTCGAATCAACTGCAATTCATCCCCTTACAATTTCTGTTCAGCAAACATTTCATTGATTTTGGTACTAAATAGATTGTTTTTGTCTTTATTTTTCTTGTTAACTGTTGATTTTACCAACACTATGTATTTCAATAATTTTCAAGCATATTTGCAGCAAATTTACACACTTTTTAAGCTCTTTAAAGACAGTAATCAAATTCAAGGACTTTTAAACACTTTTTCTCCCTATTTTACGCACTTTTTTAAGAAAGGGACTCAAATTCAGCACTTTTTAAGACTGTCAGGACCCTACTGTGACAAGGACATGTAAAATATCTTATGTTATACATACTATTTTCTCCTCGGACAACCTTTTAAACTTGCTTGCAATTTTTCTCCGCACTACATCGTCGTCCATGTCCGGATGTTCGGCTTTATAATCTGCATATTTGCTTTCAAAATGCATCTCTTCTGCCGTCCAAACCTTCCTTACTTTCGACTTCTTACTCTTTGTTGGGCTAGAGTCCTGAAACACATAATTGACAGTTTATTAAAGTTAGCTAACCTGATTTGCATCAATTCAACGCCCTTTCCTCATAAAAAATTGTCTCAGTAACATTTTATCAGCTAATTTCAGTGCAATATGACATAAGTAGTATGGTCCATGTCTCCAGTGAACTGAGTATTAAAAACAATAATGAATTATATATGCTATAGTAGTGTTAATGCTTATCGATTATACACAACTCACCTTAGTGCAATAACTGGTTAACTCCTATTAAATTTAGAAGGACTTAACCTGTTACTGCACTAAGGTGATGAAGTGCTCTTCAATATGCTAGCCAGGTTGCTTTCCTCATAATCTGATCTTGAAAAACAAACACTTACCTGGAAATATTTAGAATATTTAGATTTAAAATGTATTGTCTCTGCCATTACTCAATGTTTGTCAGTAAGAAAAGGGGGATAACTCTGTGAAAAGGTAACTCATGGTTCTGGGACCTGTGTCCATCATGTAATATAATCACAGAGAACAAGTGCGTCAATTTTAACCCATTCTCTCAACAGTTTTGGAGATACAAACTTGCACACACAAAATATACCAAAGTGCAACACCCTATGTTGGGGCGAGTATAACTGCTTCGTTCTCCCTCTTTTTTTGGAATAGTCAAGCCAAAAATAACCTGACTTCAAGAAAGACTACCTGTATTTTAAATTCAGGGGTCCAGCTGACCACCTATCAAAAAAGATGTGTTGAGGCCTGTAGATATGAATATCAATAGATCTAAAATAAAAGAACTAACCTGGCTGTCATCATCATGTTGCCTCTTTTTCTTTTTCTGAAAAATAATGAATATTCATGTTGAAAAAAAAAAGCAGAGAATATTTGCATCTAAGTAAAATGGATTTTATCAAGTTAGCAACCAAGTGTTAAACCATTGTGCAACCACTTTACACTCGGCTGCATGTTAAATACAAGATAATAACAGTTTTTTTAGTTAAAACACAATTTTTTTCTTGGTTTTTTTTTTTTTTAATTTTACGCCACATCGACACAGTGTAGGTTATATCACGATGTTCCAGCTTTACTGGTGGAGAAAGACCTCAGGTGCCCTTCCGTGCATTATGTCAGGCACCGGAGTAGAACCACCGACATTCTGTAAGCTAGCTGGATAGCTTCCTCACATGAAAGAATCCAAAGTCCCTGTCGAGATTTGAACCCACAGCAACACTGGTAAGGTTATATGGTAACTTTCCATCTTCTTTGATGTAGAAGAACACAGGTGCTCTTCTAATCACTGAGACATGAGCAGGTACCCGAGTAGAACCAACCACAGTCCATAAGCAAGCTGGAGTAGCTTCCTCAAATGAAAGAATATGACATGCCTGGTGGGATTCAAACCCACCATTATAAGTGGTTTGAAATCAACAACCTTAAATACTCAGCCAAAGAAGCCCCTCGGTCAAATACTGTCATACTGATAGCTTTCAGGGGGGCACATTCAATAATAACCAGTATAATACATTTACCGAAAATGTAATTTTACATATAGAAAGAAGGAAAACAATCAACAAATGTAATAAAATCTCAGTTTTCGATAAAAATCCACCCTGTTTTTCAAATCCTAGAATAGACACTGCATAAAATAGCAGGCTAACATGGCTCTTTGCTGGGAGGAAATGCTAATCACATTTTCGAGTCTTTACTAATTATATGAGCTGCGTTATGACAAAACCAACACAATAGGTTTGCGACCAGCATGGATCCAGACAAGCCTGCGCCTCCGCACAGTCTGATCAGGATCCATGCTGTTCGCTTACAAACCCTATTACAAGTAGAGAAACTGATAGTGAACAGCATGGATACTGATCAGACTGCGCGGATGAGCAGGCTGGTCTGGATCCATGCTGGTGGCAAACCCATTATGTTGGTTTTGTCATGACGCGGCTTATATTATGTTTATATGATAATGCATTACTGGAGTTTTCAATGGTGTGCTGGTTCTGCCTGTGTCATTCATTGTTGTGTTCATTGTATCGTCCAACTGTAATATAGTAAAAATAACAAGTTTTTAGGTTGAAATTTACATATAGAAAGCCAAATGTAAAAAAACAAAACAAGTAGATGTAATTTTCTTTTTCACAATCTTAAGTCTATTGCAAAAAGTTTCAGCTTATGTGATGAAAATATTTTGGCAACTTACTACATGACTAGTTACACTCAAGTCAATAAAAGTTAAAAAAATCCATTTCATAAAGTTGGGTACACAAAATATGACAGCTTTTAAAGCTGACTTAAAATATGCAAAAATAGGACTAAAACAGTAGAAATGTGATAATAACTGCAAAATCAGTCATAAATGGCACATAACCTGTAAATTATAACATGAATTTTGAATTTATTATTCCTTAAAATCATAGCATATATTTTACTAGTTTGATTTTCTTGAAATTTGTTTGGCTCATCTAGCCGCATGCAGCTTTAATGAAAATTTAAAATCCTACCTCGCTTGACTCTAATTCTTCCTTTGTTTTAGTAGTCTTCTTTGAGGTAGAAACCTTTGCCTGAAAAAAAGAAGAAAAAAAGTTTGTCAATGATAACTAGAAATGTGTCTATAGGACACGGGTGCCCCCACATGCCACTGTTCTGTCAATCTTATGACTCTAGGTCAAATATTTTTTGGACTACATGTGCCACAAATTGAAAACTAAAAATCTTTTACTAAGTCAAGGGCAAGAACTTTACAAATACTGAATAAATCCACAAGCAAACCCAAAGGTGCATAAGTACACATGCTGACCAACATTCTTGTACACTTTCAGGCCTACAAGTCAAATACTTTTTGAGCTATGCATGAACAAGTTAAAAATTGCAAATTTATACTACTGTAAGACAAGGGCAATAACTCTAACAAAACTGAAAAAAAATCCACATGCAAAGTCCCAGGTGCATAGCTTCACAGTGATGTTGATCATTATTCCTGTAATTTAGTGATGTTGATCATTATTCCTGTAAAGTTGGTTGACTAACTCAAGCACTCAAGGAGCAAATAACACATCACTAGAAATGTGTCCATAGGACACGGGTGCCCCCAAACTCCACCGATTTTTCAATCTTAAGTCTCTAGGTCCAATTTTTTTTTTGGGCTACATGTGCCCAAGTTGAAAACTAAAAATCTTTTATTAAGTAAAGGGCAAATACTACAAATACTGAATAAATCCACAAGAAAACCCCTAAGCTGCATAAGTACACATGCTGACCAAGATTCTTGTAAACTTTCAGGCCTACAGGTCATAAACTTTTTGAGTTACATGCAACACAAGTTAAATATGGGAAATTTTTACTAAGTAAAGGGCAATTACTCAAAAAAGACTAATAATATCCACACGAAAATACCCAGGTGCACAACTACACATGCTGAGCAACATTCTTGTAAGGTTTCATAACTCTAGGTCAAATATTCTTTTAGTTACGCGCGACACAAGTTGAAAATTGCAAATTTTTACTAATTCAATGGCAATAAGTCTGACTTATAAATGAATAAAATAGCATAATTTTTGTACATGACCATAATAATCAAAAACTTAAAAATGTCGCCTCCCCCAAAAGGGTCATGACAAAAGCGTCACTTTTACTTCAGAAACTGGAGTCAAATAGGGCCATATCTACAGGCTGTCAACCAGGTCTTATCCAAAATATAGGAGGAATATAGGAATATTTTAGCAGGAAATATAGGAGTTTTTGGACCATTTTAAGGCAAAAAAATAGGAGTTTTCAACTTAAATTGTTTAACTTACCAATGCTTATATAAATGTAAATTATTCTTACTTTTCCACATGCTGTTTCTACAATAAAATGTCTACCGTATAAGTGAAGGAAACCATTAGCAGGCTGTCCAGCACCTTCCAACATAAAATTAGGGCGAATTTCACAGTAATATTTCAGAAATTTTAGGGCTAAAATTAGGAATTTTAGGGTACGTAATAGAAATTTTAGGGCTAAAATTTGCAATTTTATGACTAAACAAGATATGTTTGTAAAACATGTATGCCCCCTATCAGCAGCCAATTAGTCATGTGATAAGGTTATTATGCATGACTTCTGACCCAGTGATCAAACAATTAATAAGGGTTATAAAGTATCTACTGGTCATGACCATGACCTTTGACCCCTTGACCCAAAACTCAATAGGGGTCATCTGCTGGTCACGACCAATCATCATACAAAGTTTGAAGTTCCTAGGCCTAGGCGTTTTTAGTAAATTGATCAGAAACCGTTTTTACCTACAAGGTCAATGTGACCTTGACCTTTGACCCCTTGACCCCAAAATCAATAGGGGTCATCTGCTGGTCATGACCAATCACCATGCCAAGTTTGAAGTTCTTAGGCCTAAGGGTTCTCTTATTATTGATCGGAAACCGTTTTAACATACAAGGTCAATGTGACCTTGACCTTTGACCCCAAAATCAATAGGGGTCATCTGCTGGTCATGACCAATCACCATGCCAAGTTTGAAGTTTCTAGGCCGAAGCGTTCTTTAGTTATTGATCAGAAACCGTTTTTACTTACAAGGTCATTGTGACCTTGACCTTTGACCCCTTGATCCCAAAATCAATAGGAGTAATCTGCTGGTCATGACAAATCACCATACCAAGTTTGAAGTTCCTAGGCCAAAGCGTTCTTGAGTTATTGATCAGAAACCGTTTTTACTTAAAAGGTCAATGTGACCTTGACCTTTGACCCCTTCACCTAAAAACTCAATAGGGGTCATCTGCTGGTCATGACCAATCATCACACAAAGTTTGAAGTTCCTAGGCCTAAGCGTTTTTTGTTAATTGATCGGAAACCGTTTTTACCTACAAGGTCAATGTGACCTTGACCTTTGACCCCTTGACCCCAAAATCAATAGGTCATCTGCTGGTCATGACCAATCACCATACCAAGTTTGAAGTTCCTAGCAATAAGGGTTCTTAAGTTATTGATCGGAAAGCATTTTTACCTACAAGGTCAATGTGACCTTGCCCTTTAACCCCTTAACCCCAAAATCAATAGGGGTCATCTGCTGGTCATGACCAATCATCATACCAAGTTTGAAGTTCCTAGGCCTAAGGGTTCTTTAGTTATTGATCGGAAACCGTTTTTACCTAAGAGGTCAATGTGACCTTGACCTTTGACCCCTAGACCCCAAAATCAATAGGGGTCATCTACTGATCATGACCAATCACCATCTCAAGTTTGAAGTCCCTAGGCCTAAGGGTTCTTTCATTATTGATCGGAAACCGCTTTACCTACAAGGTCAATGTGACCTTGACCTTTGACCCCTTAACGCCAAAATCAATAGGGGTCATCTGATTGGTCATAACCAATCACCATACCAAGTTTGAAGTTCCTAGGCCTAAGGGTTCTTTTGTTATTGATCAGAAACCGTTTTTAATTAAAAGGTCAATGTGACCTTGACCTTTGACCCCTTGACCCCAAAATCTATATGGGTCATCTGCTGATCATGACCAGCACCATACCAAGTTTGAAGTTCCTAGGCCTTAAGGTTCTTTAGTTATTGATCGGAAACCGTTTTTACCTACAAGGTCAATGTGACCTTGACCTTTGACCCCTTGACCCAAAATCAATAGGGGTCATCTACTGATCATGACCAATCACCATACCAAGTTTGATGTTCCTAAGCCTTAAGGTTCTTTAGGTATTGATCGGAAACCGTTTTTACCTACAAGGTCAATGTGACCTTGACCTTTGACCCCTTGACCCAAAAATCAATAGGGGTCATCTACTGGTCATGACCAATCACCATACCAAGTTTGAAGTTCCTAGGCCTTAAGGTTCTTTAGTTATTGATGGGAAACCGTTTTTGCTTACAAGGTCAATGTGACCTTGACCTTTGACCCCTTGACCCCAAAATCAATAGGGGTCATCTACTGGTCATGACCAATCACCATACCAAGTTTGAAGTTCCTAGGCCTTAAGGTTCTTTAGTTATTGATCGGAAACCATTTTTGCTTTCAAGGTCAATGTGACCTTGACCTTTGACCCCTTGACCCCAAAATCAATAGGGGTCATCTACTGGTCATGACCAATCACCATACAAGTTTGAAGTTCCTAGGCCTTAAGGTTCTTTAGTTATTGATCGGAAACCATTTTTGCTTTCAAGGTCAATGTGACCTTGACCTTTGACCCCTTGACCCCAAAATCAATAGGGGTCATCTACTGGTCATGACCATCACCATACCAGTTTGAAGTTCCTAGGCCTTAAGGTTCTTTAGTTATTGATCGGAAACCGTTTTTGCTTTCAAGGTCAATGTGACCTTGACCTTGACCCTTGACCCCAAAATCAATAGGGGTCATCTACTGGTCATGACCAATCACCATACCAAGTTTGAAGTTCCTAGGCCTAAGGGTTCTTTAGTTATTGATCGGAAACCGTTTTTGCTTTCAAGGTCAATGTGACCTTGACCTTTGACCCCAAAATCAATAGGGGTCATCTACTGGTCATGACCAATCACCATACCAAGTTTGAAGTTCCTAGGCCTAAGGGTTCTTTAGTTATTGATCGGAAACCGTTTTTGCTTTCAAGGTCAATGTGACCTTGACCTTTGACCCCTTGACCCCAAAATCAATAGGGGTCATCTACTGGTCATGACCAATCACCATACCAAGTTTGAAGTTCCTAGGCCTAAGGGTTCTTTAGTTATCACTCGGAAACCATTTGGTCTACGGACCGACGGACCGACAAGTGCAAAGCAATATACCCCCTTTTTTTCAAAATAGGGGCATAATAAACTAAGGTCCCAAAAGAACACGATGTGGGCTAACCTTTGCAAGTAACTCACAAATAATGCTCTAGTTTAGTAATAGAGCAAAGGTGCTACCAGTGTGGACTCACTGGTCAACTGCCTCCCCTGCAGAAATGGTCATAGTCAAATCATGTTCAAACCATTTTTTTAAATGGCTGAACATGTCAAAAAGAACATGTTCTACCTATGTTTTAGGAATGTTATAACCACAAGTGTCTGAAAGGAATTCTTATACAGTGAAATTCTTGCACAATGCAGCTTTTGAATCATAATTATGGACAAATGAAATTTTTTGTAAAAGTAGGTAAAAAGTAAAAAGGCATTTGCCTTGGTACAGTCATTTAAATAAATGGGAAACATCTATATTCAACACAAAGAATTGCACATCAAAAAAGTTCATCACACAGATCACATAATTGCAAAATGTGTGTACATTGTAATTGGAAATGAGCTTTATATTACTGAACTGCCAAATTATTTTGAGTGTGATTAATTATATGAGTCTGCCTTTCCTAAATTGCACCATATGAATGAAAGAACAAGAACTGAATGAAATTGATAACTTTGGGGCAAAATAAGCAATTTCTCCTACAAAGATACGAAAAGAATAAATAAGTATGAGGGAAAGAATTAATTTTTCAAAGTCTATGTTAACCCATGCAGTACTTTACAATGTTGTTTTGATATTATGCAGATTTAAATTAAAAGAGTTGTGAGTAAACAAATTGTGCATTAATTTTTGACAACTATTTATATATGTTTTTAATTAAGATTTTGTTTCAACAGCTTCATAATGATCATTTTCAAATATGATATGATTCAAATGGACCACTTCAGAAATTTGGATAAAATGAACAAACATGAAATTCAAGATATCTGGAGTTGGCAAAGCAGTGGACTAAATAAGTGGACTCTTATGGTTATGATTTAAGTTTCAGGACAATGGTATGGTAGTGTTTTTGCTGTTAACTGTCAACATGATTATCAACAACTGCTTTGATTATGAAATAGCAATGTTACTGACATAGTCAAAGTAACTTTTAGTTTAAACGAAACCATTTCAATGTCATCAATTTTGAGTTGGCAAATCATGGCCAAATCATTTTTGACAATGTTCAAAACATGGTCGACTTTGAGATATGTTTAAAGGGTTACAAGTTATAAGTATGTTTAGTACAAAAGATAAAAATAATTAGGAATTTCAGTGAAAAAATAGGGCATTTTTAGGAATTCCCTTCGAACTTCTCACTTTTTTAGGAATTTTAGGGATGCTGGACAGCCTGCATTAGCTTTAAACCACGGCATCAGCAGAAAGTTACAGCAATGCATGACCATCATCTGAATGGTCACCTGAAATAAATGTGACATACTGATGCACTGCTTTTCTTGGTGACCATGCAGATGGCTATGTGGAGCACAGCAGCCTTGAGAATAGTAATGTGATGCTGATGCAGGCATTCACATTCTCTTACCTGTAAAATACAAAAGGCCAAAAGCAGTACCAAAATTTAAATCTCTTTGAATTCCTCGGCAATGTACTTTTAAAAAAAATATAGGAAAAATATTCAGAATATAGGAGAATATAGGAAAAATAGGAGGTTTTTTAAAATATAGGATTCAGACCCAAAATATAGGAGTTTTATAGGAATATAGGAATTGGTTGACAGCCTGTATCTATTTTAAAGTAAGTGGTCTGAAGTCAAATTCGAACTAGAGTTATCAACTTAAATGACAAGCTTAATCCTAAACTTTGTTTGTGCGGGTATAATGAATGCAAATTTTCAATAATAAACCACCTTTCTATGTGTCTCATCTTCAAGGATCTTTTTTATCTCCATATCGTCAGGATGTGCTTGTGAGTACTCCATTACTTCTTTCACGTAAGCTTCTTTTTGCTGAAACATAAATCTAGCCATAAAGCAGAGTACACATAACAAGAGCTGTTAGCAGGACAGTCTAAGGGTGTAACAATACACTCACCTCACGATACAATACGTATCACAGTACAGGGTCCATGATATGATACTTATCATGATACAGGTTGACTAAAGAAAATTGTCAGATGTCTGTAATCCATTTAAACTTTATATTTTCACACAGAATGTATTATGCTTAATTAATTCAAAGACTTTTTTACTTTACTCACTTATTACACATTCATAACGAAAATGTTCATTATTTACATAAAGTTCAATACATCCGTTGACAGTAAGGAACGGTATGGAAAATATCCAACAAAATAGCGTTGAGCCATAACTCTACACAACTAGCCGTCTATTGCAGTGTTTTGACAATATTTTGGATTCAACAATATGGGTTTTATTTGCAAAGGTGTCCAAATATCTTATTATCTTTTATTCACAAATTTCACCTGACCAAAAAGTGTTTCCAAAAGGGCCATTTCAGCCGATAGTCAATTGTTACAAAAATAACGATACATCGGAAAAATAATTTCAGCACATTGAAGTAGCAGTCAGATTATTTTTTCACTTGAAATCCAAAATGCTTCCATTTTTGGACTTGAAACACACTGACGCAGATTTAAACTCAGCTTCTGAAAAATTACTCCCTTTGAAAATGGTCTAAAATGCCGTACTGTCCCATACTGTGCGGGCGATTTGTCATACCGTGAACCATACCGAGTGAAAACGGTACTATATACCGCAAGTATAGTTAACCGTTACACCCTTAGAACAGCATGCTCGAATATTATCAAATGTTTGACACTAAAACAAGATTCTTGATTACATAAAATTTTCTTAATTCAAGAAGGGCCATAATTCAGGCAAAATCAACGATAGAATTATGTCTGTTAGAAAGTGACCTCTTATTATGCTCTTAAATAAAACTGTCAAGTATTCAACTTATTCCCTTCAGTAGCTTTCGAGATATACAAACTTCCACGCAAAAATTTAATGCCTGAATGAATACATCAGCTCTCCTGTTCGCCCATTTCTGAAAACTACTTTTTTGCTTCTTCTTTATTTTCCCAAAGATTTTATACACTTAGATGTCACTTTTTTAGTTTAACATTAATATCACATAAACACAAAATAATTTCTAAAATTAACTACAACATGATGATAATGTAATTTTGCGAAGCCTAATGGGTCACTATGGTTTAAAATTTAACATTACTTAAAACCAACGAGAATAATATTTAATGCTTTAAATACAATCGATTTTTTGTTTCTTTTCACTTATTAAGCTGGAAGGATAATAACAAACAAAACAATTCTATGCTACTAAAACCATCGATTCTTAATAAAAAAAACTTTTATAAACGGATATTCTTCACTGGCACATCATGTACTATACTAACCTTAGCACATTTCAAATTATACTTTGCTCTTTCTTTCTCGGACAGTTCTTTCCACATCGTGGACAATTTCAGCATCAGAGGCACACCTTTTATGCCTGAACTAACCAATTCCTTGGTCATCTCACCACAAAAATAAGAATACCCATTCACTCTGAAAAAAATATAAAGCTAATATAAACTTCATGTTACATCTACGAGAAAGACATTTCTCTATCAAAATAAACAACTTATATTAAAGTGCATGTGTTGTATTACTCGGTCTCCTTAAAGGCCAATTATGTACTAAAAAATTTTAATGCATTTATAAAATACGATTTTGCGACTCCGGTAAAAGGGTATTGCATGGCTGTGCATATATTTAAATGAGACGTTATTTACGTTATACAAACATAGTGTAAAGATGCGCTTAATGTTTGCCTTGCACTATAGGCATGTCAATGAAAAATTATGCTTTTGCACTTTATTCAGTCTTTGTTTATGGTATGTGATAAATAGAATATTATATTTGTGTAGGTTCATTACTGAATTTATCAAACGAGTTGAATAAAATAATATTATGCTTGCCACAGGCTGGCATGATATAATTTTATTCAACTTGTGCAATAAATTCAGTATTGAACTTACACTCATTCTTTATCCTCTATTTGTTTTTATTTCTCAAATAAGAGTGTGAAGTTTCAATCCATTCCCTCAGTACTTCTGGAGATATCAATTTACATGCAAGAACTTAACCCAAGTGTGACGCCTCTGTCAAATAATTTTGGCTCGTAAATACTTACTTCGGTCGTTTTGGGTGATCAGGATTAACACTCTTCTTTTTCCTCTTTGGCGCTGTATGTTCTTGGACCCTAAATCATTAAATAGAAACCAGAAACTATCACTCAAAAGGATTTATATATCAGAACCTTCCACTTTAATACTAAATAAATGATGAAAATAAAAGTATTCCAAAAACAATCTCTGCTCTTTTTCTTCCCCTTATCATGCCAACATTTTTTCAACTCGTGTTATACCAAAATACCGCATTGCCATAGAAAAATGAGTTATCCCAAAATAAGACATTGTCACAGAAAAATGTTTTATCTCAAAAATACCTCATTGCCATAGAAATACGAGTTATCCCACAATTACTTCATTTTATTATATACTTATAAATGAAATATTGAGAAATATTGATGAAATAAAATGTGTATTTTCATTTTGCGTATTTTCACTGTAAAAATTTATTTTTCACTGCAGTGAAACATATTTTCCGTATTTTCACTGGTGTCTTGCCGGACTACTTTCTTTTAAATTCTGCCATTACACAAAATTTAAGGCAAAGTCTTTCAAATTTTATCGCAAAAAAAAAGAGAAAAATGTATATAATAAACAGAAAATTCAAGTTTTTTCTATAAATACATGATTTATTTTCATCTTGTGGCATGAAAATTACCATATTTCACTCGTGGCTACCGCCACTCATGAAATATTTATTTTCATACCACTCAATGAAAATAAATCATGTATTTATAGAAAAAACTTGAATATCCTCTATGTCATAGAAAAATGAGTTATCTCAAAAGTACCTCATTGCCATAGAAATACGAGTTATCCCCAAAATACCTCATTATAATAGAAAAATGAGTTATCTCAAAAATACCTTATTGTCATAGAAATACGAGTTATCCCCAAAATACCTCATTATAATAGAAAAATGAGTTATCTCAAAAATACCTCATTGCCATAGAAATACGAGTTATCCCCAAAATACCTCATTATAATAGAAAAATGAGTTATCTCAAAAATACCTTATTGTCATAGAAATACGAGTTATCCACAAATACCTCATTGCCATAAAAATAGAGGTTATCCCCAAAATACCTCATTGCCTTAGAAATATGAGTTATCCCCCAATGGCAATAGAAAAGTTTTGTGCCAAAACCTTGTTCCATTATTGGAGAATGAAACTGAACTTAGTTATTACATGGTTATGTGGATGTTTAGTGAACTAACATTTTACAAGTTTATAAAGGAACTAAACAGGAATTTTAAATAATTCATTTACAGGTATAGTTTTACTGCACTTGTTCAAGGTAGGAACTGTGACACTGACACCAAAATACTTAAACAGTTATCGACCAAGTGAAATTTCTAAATATTCACATAAAAGTTCAACTTGGCAGTATAAAAAAATGTTTTTTCAGCACCAAAATGACTGAAATCCAACAATTTTTACATTTAGCATTATTATCATTTATGAAAATTACTGGTCCCATTAGGGGTTCTACTTTTACCTCAAACACAAAAGTACCAAAATAATATTGTGCGTCAAGGGTTATTACTAAAACAAGTATATTAAAGATATACAATGGTCAAATTTGATTTTTAAAATATTAATAATTGTGACATAATCTCTTTGTTTGTATAAAATCAACATGTTTCAACTTCATTTAAAGTAAATATGTTATGTTTTGAACGCTACACACTAAAGGTGGTTACAATATGAATATATAGTGTCATTAAAAAATCTTTACCTAACCCATAATAGGAAATGCAGCTCCTTATACATAGTTTATTCATTATTTTATTCAAATTAAACATATTTCCCCTAAAATTTCATTATTTCAAACCAAAATAAAGAAATTTAAAATTTTTATATTAAAGGTTTAAAAATTTAAATTTTTCCCTCAAATCAAAAAAATTTTTTTTAAATTTAAAAACAAATCCCAATTTAAAAAAGAAATTTTAAAGTTTAAAAATTTTCCCAAAAAAAAGAAATAATTTTTTAACAAATTCAACCCAAAAATTTTTCTTAAATTTTTTAGTACAAAAATTGAAGATGCCTTTTTGCTTTCACATTTTTTTCAACTTTTATCTCCCAAATTTTTGTAATGCAACATTTAAACATACTAACAATACCCCTTAAAATTTTTTAACAATCAGTGTTGTATCTAGGGAATTTTTTAAAATTTTCATCCCCCCACTAAACCCCGAAAAAATTTGGGGGGGTTTTTGAAAAAAAATATGGGCAACATGCACAGGGCCAAAACACCATTTTTGGGGAAGGGGCCTCAGCCTTTTTTCTTGGGGAAAATATGCGTGATTTTGGCATACTTTGGGAAAAGGGGTCTCAAATTTAACAAAAACTTTTAAAAGTTCTTCCAAATAGAAAAGAAACAAGAGCTGTCGGTAGGACAGCACGCTCGACTATTCTAATTGCTTGATAGTAAAAGAGCCTTGATAATGTTAAATTTTTTAAGTTCACAAAAGGGCTAATTTTTTTTTATAAATTCATGTTATAGGTCTTAGAGAGAGTCTAATTATACAGAATTGGCTTGACTATTCGGAAGGTAATGTCACAAGGGTTTTTTATTGAGTATAATGACACTAATTACCTATGAATACATAAAATTGACAGAAAAGGTACAAAGGCTTGTTATTAAGATGTTTTATCAAGTAAATCACTGCTTTATTATTACGAATGCATAAAATTGTCCCAAAAAAGGCACAAACCCTTCAGTAGTTATGGAGATAACAGCTTACAAGCAAAACTTTACCATGAATTTTTTTAAGTTGAAAAAAGGAAAAAAATCAGCCTAAATGCAAGATAGAATTATGGATCTTTGTTCAGTGACCTACAATTCTGACCCTAAATGCATATGTGAAGTTTTAAATAAATATCTTTAATAGTTATTGAGATATGTAAAACTTGCATGTAAACATTAACCAAGAGACTAAGTAGAAAAGGGATATGAATCAGCCTTAATGCAAGATAGAGTTATGGAACTTGGTCAATGACATACAATTATGACCCTCAAATTATAACCCTAAGTACATGTGTAAAGTTTCAAGTAAATATCTTTGAAGACCTTTAACCTTTAACCAAAATCTCTAAGTTTCAAAGGGGCAAATAATTCTGCAAATATTGCAGACAGAGATATGCAATTTAGCAAAATGATGTACATTGTTACTATAAAAAAGTATTGTAAATTTCAAATGAATATCTCAAGCAATAATTGAGATATTTGAGTTTACAAAAAAACTTTACCCAAAATTTCTAAGTTTCAAAGGGGCATAATTCTGTCAGTATTGTACGCAGAGTTATCCAATTTGTCAATCTGATGAACCTTGTTACTATAAATAAGTATTGTAAGTTTCAATTGAATATCTCAAGCAATAATTGAGATATTTGTCTTTACAAAAACTTTAACCAAAATTTCTAAGTTAAAAAGGGGTATAATTCTGTCAATATTGTAGGCAGAGTTATCCAACTTGTCAATCTGATGTACCTTATTACTATTAATAAGTATTTTAAGTTTCAATTGAATATCTCAAACAATAATTGAGATATTTGTCTTTATAAAAAACTTTAACCAAAATTTCTAAGTTAAAAAGGGGCATAATTCTGGCAATATTGTAGATAGAGTTATCCAACTTGTCAATCTGATGTACCTTGTTACTATAAATAAGTATTGTAAGTTTCAATTGAATATCTCAAGCAATAATTGAGATATTTGACTTTACAAAAAACTTTAACCAACGCAGACGCCGACGCGGACGCTGACGCCGGGGCGACTACAATAGCTCTCATATTCTTCGAATAGTCGAGCTAAAAAGCAGTGGGAAATACTAATAAGGCAGTAAAAGACCTGAATTCAACACCATCATTTAAATTTCTTCTAAATTCTATGGGAAATTTAAAGACTGGGGAATTTTAAGGACCAAACTGGGGAAAAAAAGAGGCTAGTTTGTTTGGGGAAGCAGCCTATATTCGGCCTCTACAAAGAAGGGTTTTTTGGCCCTGATGCATTTACTTAACAATATGATGTACCGAAAATAATTTATTATACGTTAACGTTTAGGCATTTTTGACAGCAATTATCTACTCAACAACAAAAATAAAATAAAAATATTGACGAATACTAGAAGTGTGCGAAAGTTAACTGTCAATACACACGCATGATGACCTGACTGGCTGCTACACTGATTTAGTACATATTTTAGTCATTACCACCAGTGGAGACAAACATGGCGGAAGCGTTCAAGAGACAAGATACGATGAAGATAAACTGAATTTAGCTGAAAAGATTGTCGAATGTCCTACTTGGCAACTCATTGGATTTGAATGCAAGATTTGCAAAAAATATGCATGAATTACATGGCCTAGATACAACACTGAGAATAAATTTAAAAGCTACAAAAAAATGTAACTTATAATTATCAAGAAATCTATTATCATCTTAGAAATAACATACTTGTAGGCGGTGTTGATTAGAAAGTGTGTAAATTATGAAGCAATTGGTTATGGTAGAACTTAAGATAAATTCAACTTGCTGGTCTAGGTTAATCTCGTACAAACAGATGTGCAACCAAATTAGGATAAAGGGCCATTTATATTGTTATTTCCTTTTGTTTAATAGAGGATATTTGGCCCCTCTTTCTACTTTCACAGACGCTATTGTTCTCTTTTGTTCTGTTTAACAGTTAGATGGCTCCCTTTCCCTATTCCGTAATGTGGACAGAGAGACGAATGGTTCAATTACTATATACCCAGGCCCATAAGAATAAAATGAGCCGTGTCATGACAAAACCAACGTAATGCATTTGCGACCAGCATGGATCCAGACCAGCCTGCGCATACCCGCAGTCTGATCAGGATCCATGCTGTTTGCTTACAAACCCTATAACAAGTAGAGAAACTGATAGTGAACAGCATGGATCCTGATCAGACTGCGCGGACACGCAGGCTGGTCTGGATCCATGCTGGTCACAAACCCATTATTTTGGTTTTGTCATGACACGGCTCAAATAGGATTACTTACAGAATTTTGGGACAAAATATCCACAGCTATTTCTGGTAGAGTGCGGTAAGTCCGGACCTAAGGAGACAAAATTTGAATAAAAAATTACATGCATAGTACATAGTTTTGTGCATTAGGATTTCGTAGTAGTAGATTATTACAAATTTCTTCCTGATGATAGTTAATATCTATATAAGTTGACCCCAGGGCTTTAATTTGAACAAAATTGGTAGACACTCACTAGAAGATGTTTCATGCTTAATATCTAAGCTCTACCTATTTGGGTTTTTTAAAAGAAGACTTTTAAAGTTTTTACTATATACAAATAAGGAAAATCAATGACCCCTGGACCAATTTTGACCCCTAGCCTTTTATTTGAACAAACTTGGTGGACACTGACTTGACAATGTTTCATGCCAAATATTTAAACTCTAGCTCTTTCACATTTTTTAAAGACGATTTTTTAAGTTTTTTCTTTCGGTTTCCATGGCAACCAGTGTTCTGCATGGAATTAAATTTTTTGAACAATATTTAAAGTTGACTGCCAAAGGAACATTCCTGTGAAGTTTGGATGAAATCGGTTTGGCAGTTTTTGAGATGTCGTTTTAAGTTTAAGTTTACAGACGGACGGCTCAAGAAAAGCAATTACAAAGCTCACCATGCCACTTTGTGACAGGTGAGCTAAAAACAGCATTTAACTAATTTTCTAACCAAAACTATGAATTATCTTTTGATTAAGTCAGAGAAAAATTTACCCCAAGATTATTGCCAAGTTCTACAAACAATTATCAGGTATAACTTAGTGAACACTAGAAATGTGTCCATAGGACACGGGTGCCCCCACCGCGCCACTGTTCTGTCAATCTTTTTACTAAGTCAAGGGAAATAACTCTACAAATACTGGATAAATCCACAAGCGAAACCCCAGGTGCAAATCTAAAATATGCTGAGCAACCTGCCCATAAGGTTTAATGACTATGTCAAACCCTTTTTGAGAAACTTGCGACTTAAGTTGAAAATTGCAAAAATTTTCTAAGTGAAGGGCAATAACTCTAAAAATACTACATAAATCCAGACGAAAATACCTGGTACACAACTGCACATGCTGATCAATATTCCTGTAAAGTTACATGACTCTAGATCAAATACTTTTTGAGTTACCTGCGACACATGTTGAAATTTGCCAAATTTTACTAACTCAAGGGCAATAACTCTGAAAATACTAAAAATTTCCAGACGAAAATACCCAGGTGCACAACTACACATGCTGATCAACATTCCTGTAAAGTTTCATGACTCTAGGTCAAATACTTTTTGAGTTATGTGCGACACATGTTGAAAATTGCCAAATTTTACTAACTCAAGGGCAATAACTCTGAAAATACTAAAAATATCCAGACGAAAATACCCAGGTGCACAACTATACATGCTGATCAACATTCCTGTAAAGTTTCATGACTCTAGGTCAAATACTTTTGAGTTACGTGCGACACAAGTTGAAAATTGCCAAATTTTACTAACTCAAGGGCAATTACTCTGAAAATACTAAGAATATCCACACGAAAATACCCAGGTGCACAACTACACATGCTGATCAACATTCCTGTAAAGTTTCATGACTCTAGGTCAAATACTTTTGAGTTACGTGCGACACAAGTTGAAAATTGCCAAATTTTACTAACTCAAGGGCAATAACTCTAAAAATACTAAAAATATCCAGACGAAAATACCCAGGTGCACAACTACACATGCTGATCAACATTCCTGTAAAGTTTCATGACTCTAGGTCAAATACTTTTTGAGTTACATGCGACACAAGTTGAAAATTGCAAAATTTTACTAAGTCAAGGACAATAACTCTGAAAATACTAAAAATGTCCAGCCGAAAATACCCAGGTGCACAACTACACATGCTGATCAACATTCCTGTAAAGTTTCATGACTCTAGGTCAAATACTTTTTGAGTTACGTGCGACACAAAAGTGAACGGACGGACGGACGGAAGGGCAAGGGTAAATCTAAATGCCCGCCACTAACGTGGGGGCACAAAAATGTAACAGTTACAAAATTCAACTTGTGGAATATCATTACAACTCCTCTGGCAATTTAATAACTTACTGAATTGCAGAGAGCACTCCATTTTCTCCGACATAATTCACCTTCCAATCCAAGCGCCTCGCCAATGTCGGTCCAGTTAATATCGATTGAGTCAAATGGGGCAATACTCTCGTCCGGAGAGATTTTTGATACGATCTGCCTTGCTAAATTCCTGATATCTTCACCATGCCAGTTGAAACCCTTTCCTGTAATGAAGTAACCGATCTTGGTGCAATGTAAGAAAATATACTTCACTTTACGCCTTGTAAAGAAATTACAGGTTAGAAATTCAAGGGACTTTTCATGGCCATTGTAAGAGACAGAAGTTTCTCTTTATAATTGTCAGGAGTTTTTAATGACTATCTAAAGGCATAAATTTTCTTTTAAAGAAATCTGCATACATCAAATCATTCACTGTCACACAGTTACACTGGTACAGATTAAAGCTTACTATCTTGAGAATTATAGCAATATATGGCATGTCAGAGGCCCTTCTTGAAGGCATTGTATTAAAATGAAGAAGTTTAAGCATTTTTATGTAAATGCCATTTGAAGTCAAGCTAATACAGAATGACTTCACCTCTATTTTCAATAGAGTTTTATGTTTTTATTGACAGTTTATAGCTTCAGTATATTGCGATATCTGAAAACATTGTAATATAAAAGACATCTATGAAACTTCTGAAATCTTTGCATAAATAAAGGCTTAAAAGTAATCTTTCTAAATAGATCATAGGTTTTTACACAACTGACTAAACAGCTGAAATATCCAGTCAATCTTGTGAAATATCCAGTCAATCTTGAAAATTTCATAAGTTTGGATTGGCAGACACTGTAGTGATTTTTTTAGCAATCTAAAAGAACCAAGTTTTATCAGGGCATTTTTGTCAAAATTGTGAAGGGTCCTGGGCCTGTTCATTTGGTGAAAAAAGCATGATATGTCATAAAATTGTGAAAAAAATGACAAAGTACTTGGCACTTCATGACATTTTGAAACTGGAAATGGTTGATTATAATTTCTGACCTGTGTAAAATCTGCTTCAAGTCGGTACTTTAACCCGGTGAACATGTGCAAAAAACAATTAACTTGATTAAAACTATTTCTGTGTTATTGCAATCGGTATAAATCAAGTTAACCGGAATGTAAACAGTGTATTTTGAAGACAAAGTCCCAATATTTTTTTCCCGCTGCTTTGTGAAAAATAAAGTGCGATTTTGAATTGAGAAGGGGCCTTATATCGGTCCTCGTTCAGGGCCCTCGATCAACCAAATCTGCGGCCGATATTCGGCCGCAGTCCCCCACCAAAATAGTATGTTTTTTTCCCCCTAACAGAGGTAAAAATTCCCCCTCGAAACATATAAAGTGTTAAAGAGAAAAATTTAAACTAATGTTGTTTTTGAAAATTAAAATCCATCTATTTGACGTCTATTTTGTAAGAGGAATATCGTACAGTACATGTCTGCATGTTTCCGTTTGTTTTTTTCCCCAAAATCTACCGTCACATATTGGCCTTTCATCCTGTAAAAATGCTAAAATTTCAACAGAAATATGCAGAAGAAAATCGCAATTCCCATCAACAATTTGATTTCAAATTATTTATTCATGAAATCATTTTTTTGTCTTCAAAATGTTACATCAACCACGGTAAATTTTGCCGTGAATTACAAACTTGTAAGTTTTGTTTTCATGATACTTTATTAAATAACTGATGAACAACGATCTTATAATAAACAATCAATTTAATTTTATATAATTTACATCAGAAACAACTAGAATTGTGGATGTGTAAACAGAAAACAAACAAATTTTCATTTGTCACATATTTTCGCGAGGCCGATTTTTACGAATGTTTTACAAAGTCAAGAAAAGGAAGCTTTGTCTTATTAAAAGGTGTGTTAGAACACTAGAAATGTAGTGTATGAATAGAATTTACTTTAGGTCCATGTAGGGGGAATCATAAAGAAAGGTAAGCAGCATAAAGATTTGATGGTGTAAGGTGTTAAAAACTTTTCTTCAAATCTTATCAATCACTTCTGAACAGTTTAGTGTTACCTATTATGGATTTTTTACATGTAAATAAAAAACAGCTGATATTTAAATAAGTGTATTTGATAATAAAAGAAAAGAGAAAAATTCCCCCCATACACTAAAATTCCCCCTGCTGAGGGTAGCGACCCGCTTCCCCCAAATTGGATTGAGGGCCCTGTCGTTATATAAGGAAAAAAAGCCTGTTTATACCATGTCCTGCACCTTCCACATGATTTTCTACTTCCACTTCAACTTCTTCTCCTGAACTGGATGACATAATTTATTTCTCTGCAAAAGATAAAATGGGAACTTAATACTAAACAAAACTCAACAACAGTACTAAATATATACTATATAAAATCATTTTGTGATACTTACTATTTTGATCCATGGGAGGCCAATGAGACCATTATATCATTTTTAGCTTAAGGTCTTCAGCGTACCCGTTTATATACTATAACATGACATGAACGCTGAAGACAACCCAGTAGGAAAAGTCCACCAATAATTGGCCAGGAATCTGCAGCGTTTTTTTTTGCTCTACTTTGGGAATGGTGCCGGTACCAGACTGATTGGGGAAAAATGCGTTATTTTGACTAAAATTGGGAAATTTTTTAATGCATTTTTTCAGCTACAAATGAGATTAGACATCATGAATAACTGTCTAGATAGAACTATTGAGTGGTGATTTATATGAATATGTTGGATTTAAATGATTTTAGAAAAATCACTTTGCCTTGTGGGCATTTTGAACAGTCATTTTGGGAATTTAACATTGGAAATTGGGAATTTTAATGTCTATTTTCTATTGGGAATGGTACCGTTTTAGGGTAGTAGTTATATAAAGAAAAAAAACACTGATCTGACACGCTCGTATTCATTCATCGAACATGCCACGAAGTAAAGTGAAGCATACCTTGATAAAACTATATAAAATCTATTGATAAGCCAAGGTTGGACAAATAAAAATCTTATTACTAACATAAACTATGTAATAGTTTCAGACAGGTTAAAATTATGGCACTTGGCCGCCATATTGCCAAAATGTTTGATCACGTGATTACGAGATTGACCTTTACGAACCCATATGCTTCCAATATTTTTATAAATTATTTTTCTAAAGATATTGAAAAAGGTGATTTACTGATTTTTGTATTCAATAAAAATCTTATTTAAGTATTAAAAATCTTGAATAAAAATATTGAAATCATGTCAACAAAGATGTTCTTAATATAGTACACGACTATATTCTAATCGGTTCCAGCGAATAACGTCATACGAGGTCTCGCGTGACACCTAAATGTCATGGCCGACTGTAGTCAGCGTAATTGATGTTTTACAGATAAATAGGCAATTTTAATAACGGTATTAATATTTTGATACTTTAATTGGTATAGAACAATGTTAAAATAATTGTTTTATCGTAAAATGCACAAGAATTGATTGGGTCAAGTGTATTTGATAGTGAAAAATAAGGTTAAATCAACTTATGTTATTCTGGTTAGGTTTCATAACGGGTCTAATACAAAACTTTAATGCCGCATCAGATGAAAAACAAAAATGTTAAATAGCGGCTTATATTTTATAAAGTTTTGGAAGCCAGAACTATATCATTTTTAGACACAGATTCAGAATAAATATATGCTGCTGCCAAAATAAAGGATCATATCTTATTAATGAATGGCTTGAAAGACTGGTAAGGTTATGAAAATGGGACCATAGATGTTTTGGTAAGAATAATAGACAATCACATGTATGCAATCTTCAGCATTCTATCCCATTTTTCACAAACTAATTTTGAATAAAACTTTCCCTTTATAGGTTCAATTTGTAAATGCTACATGATCTATTAGACGTTTTTGTAATTTGTAAATTGAAAGACCTTTACTTTAACTGCAAAAATGCACACAAGTATATTGTAACTGCAATAATTACAACTATCTTTGAAATTCTTTTATCTAATTTTTAGTTGTTTTTAAAATAGACACGTGGTAATGTCGCGAAAACACATGTCCTTACGTTCCTGTCGTGGTCACTCAGCAGGTAGACAGATTTAACAACATTAAAATACCTTTTAAACGACGTTGACTTTAGAAATAAATGTAGATGTAGAATATAGGTCTAAGATCAACAATCTATGTTGTTTACCAATACTGCACGTAATAACATTCAAATTTAAATAAACAAGTGCAGGTATGACTTAATACCGGATATGACTCATATTCGCGGATATGACTTTAAATACCGGATATGACTTATGTTTTACAAAGTTTGTTTTATAATTTTTTTGATACAAATATCATATACTGAAAGACACTTCTAACGCAACACTTTTTAAAGCGTTTCCCATAGAATGTGTTTGTGATAGCATTCTCGGATTTCACCCACAGGCGGCAGTATCAGTGTTTGGACACCCCACCCCTATCTGCCCCTGGACCCCTACTACAACCCTGAAAAAAAATTCAACACTCTAAGGCTTACTATAAGGTACCAAATACAAAACCACCGATGAAATTATATAAAAAAAAAATTTTCAACTATCAAAATTATATATATATATAGTTATAATAATCGCCGAAACGACGATTTCCCGTGCATAGAAAAACCGGAAAGCACCGGATAGCACCGAAATACCGGAAAGCACTCAAATTTCTCATAAAAACATATGAAAGCTTTATTTTATCGGTTTGAAAGTGTTACCAATCGATTTATTAGATCAAAATCTTTCAGACAAGTTATTTTTATAATATATATTGATAATTATGTACGAGTAATTTTAGGGAAAATAGAGTATATGCGAGTGCTTTCCGGTCCTGCTAAGATACATGTACATTACGCAGGCAAATAGCAATACCTTTTTATCAAAAAGTAATACATGAAAACATTGTTTATTTTAATTGGTTTGAAAAGTGTTTTACCCAATCGATTTATTAGAAATCAAAATCTGTTTTTATGAAGTCATTTTAATAAATATATTTTAATTATTATTACGAGTATTTAAGGAAAATACATATATCGTGAGTGCTTTGCCGGGGTCCTGCTAAGTTACATGTACATTACCGCAATAGCAAAATATTGTTTATCAAAGTAATACATGAAAACTTTTATTTTATTGTTTTGAAAGTGTTAACTAATCAATTTATTAGATCAAAATCTGCTTCAGACAACATGTTTTTATAAATATATATTGATAATTACATTAGTTACGAGTAATTTAAAGAAAATAGATATATCGGATGTTGCTTTCCGGTCCTGCTAAAAAGATACATGTCCATTAACCGGAATAGCAATATTTTTGTTTATCCAAGTAATACATGAAAACTGTAATTTTTTAGTTTGAAAGTGTTTTTCAAAATCTATTTATTAGGTGAAGAATCTGTAAAATATCATGACGTTTTTATAAATATTTTATGTTTAATTAGCGCGATTTTCAAGTTGCCCTACCCAAAATAAATTGAAAATTGCCCTTCCCGGTAATTTGGCTAAAAGTTACAAACCCTTAAAAATTTTTAACCGAATAAGGACCCCAACCTTTCGACATATTTATTATAATTCACAAAAACCTAATCCCCATTCATAAATTAATTATTGCGGAAAGGGGTGTTGAAAATTGATTTATTAGTGTGAACTTATTTTATTTAAAAATATTATGATTATTAGGGGCGTTTTTTCAATCTGCTCTACATATTTCTTTGTATCATAATTCTATAATTTATAGGTTGTGTGAAAGCACAGCATAAAGACAGTGATTTAATCTAGATGTGCGTCTTGCGTAAAATACGGCATAAAAAATAAAAAAAGACGGCACAGTTTCCAAAAAATATGTCGGTTCAATCTGGACGCGAATGCAAATCAGGAAGTTTATAATCCAAAACATATCACGATTTGTGAGATTTCTTACTGTACCCGATTGATTACTTTAATTTCATTTCAATTTCTTCAGTTGAAATAATTTAATTTCCCCGATGATAACAGGTGCAAAGACCTAATCCCCCATTTGCTTGAAACTCGTTAAATTCCCCAAAGCAGTTGTTGCTTGTGATCGGGTAACCGCCCATTAATCGGCATTAGCCAATCAGAGCGTCCATTTTGGCATAAGAGGCGATTTCGCCTACAATGGTGAAATATGCAGACATTGGCGCTAAAAAATGAGAAGGGCACAGGAAAATCGTCAAGCAAATGGCCAAAGGCCGCATCTAAAATCTGTCCCAGAACTTATATTGTATGTTATTTAGTCATCCAGGACAAAACTGGTTACCAACAGCAACAGGTTACCCATTTACCTGTAATTACGCATATTCTTGAGTTTATCCATTTCCTATAGCATTTTTCCAAGTTATCTACTTACCTTATCCCTTTCCCACCTACTACAGTACTGCATTTCTACTACCGTAAATTTAATCCAATAAAGCAAACAAAAAATCATTAATCTACTTAATATTTTAAATAATTATCGGTAACTGAAAAAAAGTGTTGCTATTTTAAGAAATGCTGTAAGTTACAGTATAATCTGACAGGTGTGCAATGATTTCCCCTAAGGCCACTCAAGTTCACGCGGAGTGTAAAAAAAAAAGATGTCTATTACGTCATCAGAATATTTGACAGGGTGATTAACCAATCAGGGTAACATTGTGCATGACTTTTTTTCATGATCAAAAGATCTGTCTGTGTATGCTTTCTACACAGAGGCATACAAGGAGCAATAAAAGTCGTCAGTATGTATACAGTGTGAGAGGGACATTTTGTGCAAATTACGAACAATTAAAATGGATAATGCACAGTATTAGACATAAGTAGTAAGAAAATATAAATTATGCAAATTAGATTTTTGAGCAGCCAATAAAAATTGTTTTCCCTGCAATTAATATTAGTACCAAAAATAACTTTTTTATGCACTTTAATTACTTAATCGCTTGCTATGAAAACATGCAAATCATGTCAAGGATCTGCTCTTAAAAAGACGCATTTATTTTGCTACATGACTCATTGATTTTGCTACAGGACTCATTGTTTTCAAACATGTGCGTCATCCGACGCATTGTAAGGAATTTCTAGATTAATCACTGGAAAGATGATGTGTAAAAAGTACAAAGAAGTTATTCAAAGCATTGATCCATATTTTTTATTATTATATTGTTATATTATGTAAAATAAAGAAAAACTTATAAATTTTCGTTCAGTTATGTCTTTATTTTGACCATATTATGTGTACCGAAAAGCAATGTGGTCATCAGTGGAGGACAGAAGTTGTTGTATTGTTTATCACATGTGCTAATCCATGCTGATTAAAGACCTTGTATATTGTAGCACCTAAAGGTGATGATTTAATCAAATTGTATACAATTGCAATTAATTACACACTCTTTTGATATAAAAACTAATTTTTTTAATGAAGAATTTTACGGCACTCATAAAAAGAAATGTTTGTAACGGATATATACGGAATCTCTTAGAACTTAATATCAAGGTGTTATTAAAATTTACTCTTATTTGAATAAAATTGTATATAAACATCAACAAAATTAATCCATTACCATAATTTTTCTGTAAATGCTAGTAGTGCTATTAAATCTAAATTGGAATATTTCTTAAATAAAATATCAAAAATCATGACAATCGTTAAGACTCATCATATATGAATATAGAAATTTATAATCAACCTTATTTTTTAAATGTAATCCGAAAAAGAAGAAGACATATCTGTTGATGTATTCTATATTTGAACCCATGCCATTACTTACTTACGTAATTTATGCGCGGACATTATTTAGTAGCAAAGTCTCATACAATGATAAAACTACATCTTTTGACTGCATTAACAAAACATGGAGAATGAAAAGAAATAAAGTAATATTACTAACAAGATAACATTTTTATAATTATGTCTGAAGCTAGATTATAATATGCATTGATATTGATATTAAATAAAAAAAATCTAGGGGTCTGCCTGTGTACATATATTGTAGTTTTTTGTGTATATAATATAGAGATAGTTATTTGTTGATTCTGTTTTGAACACATCACTGTTTGTAGAATATTATTAAATTTTAAGTTTAAATGGCATCTCTATATCATAATATCTCAATCAGTTAAATACATCCAGCTATTCTTCACAGGACCGGAAAGCACTCGATATATCTGTTTTCCTAAATAATCGTAATAATAATCATATTATAATTTATAAAACATGTTGTCTGAAAGATTTTGACCTAATTAATCGATTTAAACACTTTCAAACTAAAAAAAATAAAGTTTTCAAGTATTACTTTGATAAACAATATTGCTATTCGGTAAAGTACATGTACCTTAGCAGAACCGGAAAGCACTCGATACTCTATTTTCTTAAATAATCGTAATAATAATCATATTATAATGTAAATGCTACATGATCTATTAGACGTTTTTTGTAATTTGTAATTGAATTGAAAGACCTTTACTTTAACTGCAAAAATGCACACAAGTATATTTGTAACTGCAATAATTACAACTATCTTTGAAATTCTTTTATCTAATTTTTAGTTGTTTTTAAAATAGACACGTGGTAATGTCGCGAAAACACATGTCCTTACGTTCCTGTCGTGGTCACTCAGCAGGTAGACAGATTTAACAACATTAAAATACCTTTTAAACGACGTTGACTTTAGAAATAAATGTAGATGTAGAATATAGGTCTAAGATCAACAATCTATGTTGTTTACCAATACTGCACGTAATAACATTCAAATTTAAATAAACAAGTGCAGGTATGACTTAATACCGGATATGACTCATATTCGCGGATATGACTTTAAATACCGGATATGTCTTATGTTTTACAAAGTTTTTTTTATAATTTTTTTGATACAAATATCATATACTGAAAGACACTTCTAACGCAACACTTTTTAAAGCGTTTCCCATAGAATGTGTTTGTGATAGCATTCTCGGATTTCACCCACAGGCGGCAGTATCAGTGTTTGGACACCCCACCCCTTTATCTGCCCCTGGACCCCTACTACAACCCTGAAAAAAAATTCAACACTCTAAGGCTTACTATAAGGTACCAAATACAAAACCACCGATGAAATTATATAAAAAAAAATTTTCAACTATCAAAATTATATATATATATAGTTATAATAATCGCCGAAACGACGATTTCCCGTGTTCCACATTGTTTGGCAAATGGACATATAGTAAGTAGGCTTTACACCTTTCTATAACTATAAT